AGGGCCCAGGTGCTGTCCCTTAACCTTTTCCACTCAAGGCTGGCACTCTAGCACTTGAGACACAGCTTCACTCTGGATTTTTGGTAGTTAGCTAGAGATACGAGTCTCATGGATTATCTTGCTCAGGCTGGCTTTGAACCTCAAGCCCCAGATCTCAGCCTCCTAAGTACTGAAGATAACAGGAGAGAGCTACCAACTTTGCCCTTGAACCTGCTGTCTCCTGTCTCTGTCCCAAGTAGCTGGGATTACAGGCATGAGTCTCAGCACATCCAGCTTGGGTCAAGTTTTTAAAAATGTTATTACAAAAATTTAAGTGTTATATAATCATATAAGTAAAGGTTCTTGTTCTATTGATGATTGGTATCTAAATGTGTTAATACATTCTGGCTTGTATATTCTCTTAATTTATTGGCTTGTATATTCTCTTAATTTATCTCAGATTTTTTTTTCTGCTTATAGTGGTGCTGAGGATTCGAACCCAGGGCCTCATGCATTCAAGGCAAGCACTCTACAACTGAGCCACCTTCCCAGCCTCAGATTTCTTTACATATAGAATTATCTCAGTTCTTTCTCCTAAATTGTTTTTTAAATGGCTGTGTGGGAATTGATAATAATTTTTTCTCCTTTTGTGCTAATGCTGAACTCTGGGCCTTGTGCTCTCCTTTGCCTTTTTACTGAAGGCTGGTGCTCTATCACTTAAGCCGTATGTCCACTACCTCAAATGTTTTAAAGTCAGTTTTCTGATAAATTAATAGATGGTTTCTAGTTTATGTGTCAGACAGATGGTATAGATTCTTACGTGTGTCTGTGTGAGATTGTTTCTTGTTTGTGTCTTTGCTGAACTATCACCACAGGAAAAATAAAGTAAGTAGAATCTGGGGCATAAGTAGTAAGAATAAATCTTGTTGAGACATTTGATAAAAGACTTAATAAGGAAGAGAGAATGAGCCAAACAGCTACCTGAAGGGAAGAATGTTCGGGGAGGCTGAATAGAGCCAGTGACTGTAGGACTTGAGAACATCAAGGAATTGGATGTGGCTGGATCAGGATGCACAAGGCCTAGAAAAATAACTTCCTTCAGGGAAGGCAATGGAGGCTCATTACAGTAAGGCTTCATACAAGAAAGAAATTTTACCAAGTAATGATACAATAAAGATATCACACAAAGTGACAAGGAAAACGTTACTGGGCACAGCATTTGTCTCTAATCTATACACTTAGTAACTAAGTAAGTGGCTTTTTTAAAGCCACTGATTGTGTTACCCTAATATTCTTTTTATTTTTTTTTTTTTGGGTCCGGTCGTGGGGCCTGAACTCTGGGCCTGGGCGCTGTCCCTCAGCTCTTCAGCTCAAGGCTAGCGCTTTACCACTTGAGCCAAAGCGCCACTTCCGGCTTTTTTTTTTTTTTTTGCTTATGTGGTGCTGAGGAATCGAACCCAGGGCCTCAGGCATGCAAGGCAAGCGCTCTACCACTGAGCCACCTTTCCAGCCCTACCCTAATATTCTTGTGTGAGAGTAACTTTATATAGACTATTTCTTAAATAAAGTAAACATAACATTAAAAAAGATACATACATGGTTTTAAGTTTTGACATACATACATACACAAATACATACATATGAACGTAATGCCAAGCAGTGTCAGAATTTGAACCCTTTGATGCTGATACTGGAGCTTGAATTCAGGCCTGGACACCATCCCTTCGCTTTCTTGCTTGGTGCTAGTGCTGTGTACCAACCACTTTAACCACAGCTTCATTTCCAGCCTTTTTTGTAGCTAATTGGAGATAAGAATCTGAAACCTTTCCTGCTTTGGCTGGCTTTGAACCATGATCCTTAGATCTCACGCTCCTGAGTAGCTAGGATTACAGGTAGGAGCTGAAACCACAAGCACCTGGCAGTTTGAACATTTTCATCAATGCCAAAAACTTGCCCTAGGCTAGCTTCTAAGCCACCTTTGGCTTCTCTTAGCCAGGGATTGTCTTTAAGTTTTGTCTTCCCAACTGTTTCATATAAATGTAATCGTACATTTAAATAGCCATCTGAGCCAGGTGCCAATGGTTTATGCCTATACTCAGCTATTCAGGGCTGAGATCTGAGAATCTTCGTTTGAAGCCAGTCCAGGCAGGAAAATCCATGAGAGACTTTTATCCCCAATCAACCACCAGAAAACTGGAATGGGAGCTGTAGCTTGAAGTGATAGAGTGTTAGCCTTGAGTAGAAAAACTCAAGGATCATGCCCAGGCCCTGAGTTCAAGCCCTATTACTGAGAAAAAAAAGCCATTTGAGACTGTCTTCTTTTATAAATAGCCTTTGAAATTCATCTATGTAATAATAATAAATTTCTGGTTTTTCCTGAAAAGATTTCTCTGTGTAGTTGTACTATAGCTTGTTTATATGTTTTGTTGAAGGCTTATTGGGTTGGCAGTTAGATAATCACTACAAATATCCACATGAATTTTCATTTCTCTATGGTAATCATTTAGGAACAGGATTGCTATATCCCTATTGCCATGTATGAGAGTTCTCAGCTGCAGTGCTCAGAACTTAAATTGTCAGGTTTTGTTGGCTATTTTCAGAGATATATGTTGTTATTTCATATCTTAATTTTCATTTTCCTCTGAGCTAATATATCTTCTTTGCAGGGGGGGGGTCCCTGTTAAACTATTTTGCTCATTAAAAAAGCTGTTATGCCAGTCCCAGAGTTGAAGCCCCACGACCAACCAAAAACAAAAAAAGCTACTATGAAGAGGAGAAGGGGTGAGAATGCTGTGAAGAATCAATGTATAGCCTATAAAATTAAGAAAAATGAGGGAGGGGCTGGGTTGGGAGGGATGGGTGAGAATGTTGAAAAGGGGAGGCATTGTATTCATAAACTGCTTTGTTAAATGGCAACTCTGTACAGCTACTTAAAGATAGTAATAGAAAAAGAAAAAGCTGGGCTGGGAAGGTGGCTTAGTGGTAGAGTGCTTGCTTTGCATGCCTGAGGCCCTGGGTTCGATTCCTCAGCACCACATAAACAAAAAGAAAAAAAAAGCCGGAAGTGGCGCTGTGGCTCAGGTGGTAGAGCGCTAGCCTTGAGCTGAAGAGCTGAGGGATAGTGCCTAGGCCCAGAGTTCAGGCCCCACGACCGGACCCAAAATAAAAGAAAAAGCTGTTCTTCATGTTGAGTTCTTTTTTTTTTTTGGGTCCGGTCATGGGGCCTGAACTCTGGGCCTGGGCGCTGTCCCTCAGCTCTTCAGCTCAAGGCTAGTGCTCTACCACTTGAGCCACAGCGCCACTTCCGGCTTTTTTCTTTTTGCGTATGTGGTGCTGAGGAATCGAACCCAGGGCCTCAGGCATGCAAGGCAACCGCTCTACCACTGAGCCACCTTCCCAGCCCTTTCATGGTGAGTTCTGAAAATTCCTTCTACAGCCTAGATTAAAGCTCTTTCTTTAACATGTGATCTGAAGATATTTTCTCCCAATTTTAGCTTTTCTTTCTCTTTATGATATCTTTCACAGGGAAAATGATTTACATTTTGATGAAGTCCAGGTTACCAATATTTTTCCTTCATGAATTTAACATTTAGCATTGTAGTTAATATCTTTTTGACTACTCAGGAGGCTGAGGCAGAAGGATTATGAGTTCAGTCAGCCTGGGCTAAATAATGAGGCCTTGTCTCAAAAACAATCAACCTCCACAAAAAATGCATTGCACAATCTAAGGACATAAAAGGTGTCTGTTTTATCTTTTAAAAGTTTTGCATTTAGCCGGGCGCCGGTGGCTCACACCTGTAATCCTAGCCACTCAGGACACTGAGATCTGAGGATGGCAGTTTGAAGCAAGCCCCAGCAAGAAACTCCATGAGACTCTTGTCTCCAAATAAACCTGAAGTGGCACTGTGGTTCAAGTGGTAGAGTGCTTGCCTTGAGCTAAAAAGCTGATAGACAGCACCTAGGCCCAGAGTTCAAGCCCCGTGACCTACCAAAAAAAAGAAGTTTCGTATTTAGAGTATGACCTATTTTGAATTATTTATAAAAGAATGAGGGATGTGAAAGTTGTGATTAAAATTTTTGAATATAGATGTCCAATTGTTCTAATACCATTTGTTGAAAAATTGTCCTTCACCAATTTCTTTTTTCACCTTTGCAGAAATGTTTACTTCATATGTTGTGTGTTCCTGGTTTTCTTTTCCATTGATCTATTTGTCTGTTCTTTTGGTAATACCATATTTCCTTGATTACTGTAGCTTAACAGGAAGCTGTGAAGTCAACTTTAGTCTTTTTAAAAGAACTCGAGTTCTGTTGTGTCTTGGTATACAATTTAGAGTCTGCTTGTTTATTAAAATCTAAGTCAACAAAAAGTCATGTAATTTTGATTGAAGTTAAACCTTAAACATTAAAGATCTTTTCAGGAAAATTGACAAGTTCCCTATGTTGGGTCTTCATTCTTTTACCAGTGTTCTGTCATTTCAGCATGTAGTTTCCTCACATTTTGTTAGATTTATATGTAAATATTTTTGGAGCCGATATGAATGGCTTATTTCAACAACTTGTTATGCCAATAACTTATTTCCAGTTGATTGATAGTATATAGCTACTTGATAATTTTTATATGTTGAGTTTATAACCTGCTACATTGATAAGCTTACCTTGATAAACTAGGGCAAAGCCAGTTATGTTTAAAGAGAATATCAACTGGGAATGGTTTTACAAATTCATTTTTGCTTTTTTTTAGATGAAATGTCAAATCTTAAATCTTGAATGAGGTGAGAGTTTCAGTTTTCCTTTTAGCAGTATACATAATTAAGTAGCTTTACTACTAAGTAAGTGTTTGTGTGGCCTGGAGATGGAAGCTTTAAACAAATCCAAACCAGCACTAATTTGAAAGTCTAGATTTTCCCTCTTTTTGTAATTAAATAAAAATAATTAATTTTATGGGATGTTTTATCATAACCCAACAACTTTTCAGAAGAGACAACTGAGTACTTGTTCTCTTTCCCTTTTTTTCTCATTAGGTATTGGAAGAGTTGCTGCTACATCTTTAGGGAATTTAACTAACCATGGATCTGAAGATTTACCTCTTCCTCCTGGCTGGTCTGTGGACTGGACAATGAGAGGGAGAAAATACTATATTGATCACAACACAAATACAACTCACTGGAGCCATCCTCTAGAACGAGAAGGACTCCCTCCTGGATGGGAAAGAGTTGAGTCATCAGAGTTTGGAACCTATTATGTAGATCACACGAATAAAAAGGCTCAATACAGGCATCCCTGTGCTCCTAGGTAGAATATTGACTTTATTTTCAACTTTTGTTTTGAGAGTATCTTGTGTTAAGTTTTGGACTAGTATTTTTCTTCAAAAAGAAAAGTATTCTGATCTTGGGATTTTGAATTCTTATTTCTCAAAATTTGTAACACTTACATCTGGCTTTACTTTTAGTAATGAATGACCTCAATAATTTAAAAGCTTGAAAAGTATTTATTTTTCAATAACCTGACAAACAAGATCATTGTTCTTATGATCAGATTCTATATTCCAGAGAATCCTTTTGTTATTGATACCCAGAAATTGAAATAAGTGAAATATTTGCCGCTTCATATTAATTCCTATAAATAATTTATGTCCACCTTCTACAAAGTCAAAATATATTTTCAAACTATAAATCTTGGTGTTTTTATTCATCTTCAGACATGATTTCATGTTCTCTTGCTTAATGTCCCAGATAAGAAAGTGAAAATTGGAACTTGAACAAAAATTTGTAGAACTGTTTAATAAATATGCAGTGATTCTTTGGGCTGTTTTGATTGATAGTAGGATCTGGTTTGTGCTAATACTATAACAAGTTGTCATAAAAGGATATTGAGCATTTGAAATATGAATGAAATGCTGTTAATATGGGCTGGGAATGAGGCTTAGTGATAGAGTGCTTGCCTAACATGCATGAAACCCTGGGTTTGATTCCTCAGTACCACAGAAACAGCAAAAGCCTCAAGTGGCCCTGTGGCTTAAGTGATAGAGTGCTAGCCTTGAGAAAAAGAAGCTCAGGGACAGTGCCTAGGCCCTGAGTTCAAGCCAAGAACTGGCAAAAAAAAAAAGTGTAAAATATATATATTGGATTTCAAAGTAATGTAAAATTAACATAATTTAGTAATAAAGTGGCAACTATTTCATGTTAACTGTATTTGGGCTTAACTGAGCTGTCAGATTAAAAATGGGAAAAATATAATCAGCATGTTAATAGATACTGCTTTCTATCAGCTGTCATGCAGATTTTCATTCTAGTGAATAATTTTTCAGAATCATGAAAAAAATTAGAATTATTACCTAGAAGATTAAGCTTTATCATGATTATTTTATATATTTGGATTTATTGATTCAACACTGAAAATCAGTTTTGTCGGATGATTCTATGTAGTAGCACTCAGTGTTCATGAACAACTGAGATTATCCTGCCTTAAAAGAACCAAATTTCTTGTTTATGGTTTGCTGTCACCAGATAGAGAAATCTTTGTGGTTCTAATAGCTAGATTTGGGAATTTATTTTTCTGTTTATCATCATTAACCTTACATCATTATAGCATTTTTTTTTTTTTTTGGTCCAGTCGTGGGGTCTGAACTCTAGGCCTGAGTGCTGTCCCTCAGCTCTTCAGCTCAAGGCTAGCACTGTACCACTTGAGCCACAGCGCCACTTCTGGCTTTTTTCTTTTTGCTTA